GCTCCCCAGGAGGGGCTGCCCCCCTTGCCCACCATCACCCCGGCCCGCTCGCGCCCCCACCCCCGGGGGCACCAGTGCCAACGGCAGCTCCCCCAGCCCCGGACCTACCTGCACGGCTCAACCAAGCCTAGAAGTGGGGGCGGGGAACCTTCCGCCCTCCTCTGTCTCTCATTGGCCCTCGCAGGGCTCATCGTGGGCGCCATTGGCTGGCAGCGAGTGTCCGTCAGGGCGGCGGGGCGGGACAGAGGAGGAGAGGGATGCTGGTGCCTCTGCGTCTCTATCTCTGTGTATCTCGCTGTCTCTGTCTCTGTCTGGGCCCTTGGAAATGGGAGGCTTTGGGACGGGAGAACTGGAAGGGGGCCTGCGGGGGGGAATAGGAGTAGGGATCCTGGCCGTGCTCCACACCAGCAGGCCGATCCAAACCCCTGCCAAGTCCTTGGGTCCCGTTCCCCATCACCCCCAACCCCTGCCCCCTCACCCTTCCAGGTTCTTCATCCAGGAAGCGACGCGATGAGAACTCGAGGCCGGAAGGCCACAGGGGGAGATTCTGTACGTGTATATAAAATGCACACATGCAAATATTTTTACAGAGAAAGTCCAGCAGATAGAAGATCAGGAGGGCCTAGGAGGAAAGGGCGCACGTCTGACAGACAAGGAAAGACTCAAGATGTAGCTGATACTGTGTGAGCAGGAATCAGAGATCACTCTCAGCTGGTTAACAGCAGTTGCCTCTGGAAGGGGACCCGGGTGCCGAGGGCATGGCGGGGGAGACAATCTCGTTGCGTATTTTTTTGTAGCTTTTGATTTCTGTACCATTCATAAACATTCCAAAAAATTTTTAATTTTTTTAAAATTTTTGGTCACAAAACTAGGGAACAGACAGGGAACTTGGGCCATAATGCAGGTACAGAGAAGAATCTTAATTTTTCATTTGTTCAAGTTCCAGATACCAGGGGTGAAACCCCGCGGAGGTGTCCAGAGGCAGCTGGAATCTTGGGACTTCAGAGTAGGTGGACAGTCTAGACTCGAGGGGCACAGCGTTTACAACCTAAATGGAGTGGTCTAGGACATGCTAGAGGACAAATTCTCCCCAAAAATGTTAACGAGCACCCACATTTAAAGTTAAGAGGATGAAAAAGGAACAGAATAGTAAAGCTCCATGAAAATTAAAGGAGCAAAGGTCTCTGGTAAAACAATAAAGCTATAGGAGCAATGCAGCTCTTTTTTTTCTTTTTTTTTGCAACACAGGTCTTAGGGTTCACTTACGGGACTCTCCTTGGGCTCTGGTAATCATGTGACAACGAGTATGGAAATCCAGAAAATACTTGTAAATCAGAATTCTTAATTTTTTTCATACCACAGACCTTTTGGCAGTCTGATAGCGCATACAGATCTTTCTCAGAATGTGTGTGGGTTTCATTTTTTGTTTTTGTTTTCTTTTTAGTGTACATTTGCACTACACATTTATTATATTCATTGTGGGGAGCTGCTACATGTACATAACACACCCTGATTGTCTTAAAATTCACAACACACATAGGAATCCAAATGAGACGATCTATACTAAAAGTTTTCAAAATATTTCTAAAAGTAGAATATAATGATGTATGTGGGTTTTATTAATATAATAACAGACCACTATAATTTTAAGATCATATGTGAGCATAAATGTTATTCTAAGATATCATCTGCAACAACTATCAAAAAAATCGGTGATTTCTCTTGATGATAAAATCACGGGTAGCTGGGTGTGGTGGTACACACCTGTAATCCCAGCACTGGGGAGGCTGAGGCAGGAGGATCATGCCTGTAATCCCAGCGCTCAGGAGGCGGAGACAGAAGGATCGTTGTGAGTTCAAGGCCAGCCTGGGCTACACAGTGAGCTCAAGGCCAGCCTGAACTGCATGGTGAGACCCTGTCTCAAAAGACAAAAAAATATATATCGCGGGTATTGCTAACACTACCGTGGTTTGTTGATCTAGTTGTAACTGAGGGATATGCTAATTTTCTCTTGGACTACAGCAAAAATAAGTGTATATTTTTTTCCTGTTGAGCACGGATTGAGAAATACTACCCTAAAGAAATAATCGTTCCCGCCACCTTCTACACACTTCGTGAACCCTCTTTCCTATTGCTTCTTTCTTGTCCGTGACACAAAACCCTCTCTGGCTCCACTCATTCCTGCAGATGCTTGACACCCTCCCCACGACGCAAAGAACAAGCAAAATATGAGAGTTGAAGGAGAAGAGGCTGAGGGTATAACTCATGTGGGGTGCTGGCTTGTGGGTATAACTAACTCGGTGTAGGGTGCTGGCTTGCATGCGGCTCTGGGTTGACCCCAGGAAGGAAGAGGAGCACAAGAACACACTCGAAGTTCAGCAGAGCTGAGATGATGGGGAAAGGAAGCCAGGATGGGTTCTCATTCATTCCCAAGAAGGAAAACAAACTGTAAAAAGAAAACATCTTTATCAGTTAAGAATCTTTTCCCTGAGTTGATTAATTCTGCTTATATCACCCTCACAAATCATCCTCAGTCCAATTCTTCATTTCCTATTAGGGAATTGTGCCTACTTCTGAGGATTGTGGTGAGGACCAAATTTGTGTATAGATATACAGGGGATTTTAAAAGTAACATGGCAAACAGGTGTTCGCCGTCATTATCATTACATTTATCATCTTGTATTCCTGGTAATTCCATGAAAATTTCTGGCATAACTCTTTGTGTCAGTGACATGGGTGGTAGCAAATTAAAGAGCAATAAAAAGCTTAATCCCAAACACTTGTTTTCCACTTAAATGGTTCACAGAATATTCTATTTTTTCCAGTATGTTTTTCATTCCTCTAAGGGAGGAATATCAGTGTTTCTTTAAAGGCACTGTAAACTCAGAAAAATTTGCTTATGTTACCAAGGGCTAATTTCCATAAGAATGCATATAAAGACTCCTACAAATCAATAAAGACTAGCAGTTCTTCTACGTTGCTGGTGGGAGTGTAAACTTGTACAACCACTTTATTTATTTATTTATTTATTTATTTATTTTGGTATCAGAAATTGAACTCATGACCTCACACTTGCCAGGCAGGTGCTGTGCTGCTGAGCTATATCCTTGGCCTTAACAACCACTTTAGAAAAAGACTTTGATGTAATTCAGTAAATTTAAGATATCCATGCGCTATGTCCCAGCTATCCCACTACTAGATATACAAGAAAATAAAAGGATTTAGGCAAGTGTGGTGGTACATGCCTGTAACCCTATTGCTTGGGAGGTTGAGGCAGGAAGATTGCCATGAGTTTGAGGCCAGCCTGAACTACGCAGTGAGATCCTGTCTCAAAAAACAAACAAAAAAAAAGCCCTATGCCATTGAGATATCATTTAATCTAACAGAACACGATAAACAGTTCAGTAACATTGCATTGGCAATAGAATAGAGAGGAATAGTCATTGTTCTACAGTACTGGTGAAAATATAAATTTTTCCAATATCTATGCCATTAGGCAATACCCATCAAAATTATTGCTGAGTGTAGTTGTGCATGCCTGTTATCCCAGCCATGCTCAGGAAGCTGAAGCAGGAGAATTGCTGCAAGCTCAAGGCTAGCCTGGGCTACGTAGTGAGTTTAAGGCTACCCTGAATTACATACTAGGGTCTTGTCTCAAAAAATAATGATAATAATAAAATAAAAGTATAAAGCTGTATACCTTTTAATTTGGTAATTCCACCTCCAAGAATTCATTTATTTCCCCAAAATATTTATTGGGCATCTACTATGTGACAGGCACTACTTAATGCCCTAGAACAGTGATGGCAAACCTTTTAGAGCTGGCAGTGATAACAGCCAGCGGTGGCACGCACATGTAGGTCCCCTACCACTGCCCTAGACTTTATGCCGGTGATATATTCTCTGGAAGTTTGGAAACTTGGAGGTATTTATATGACTGTCACAGAGTTGCTCTCAAGGATAAACTTTGAATTTCAATCAGAGAATACCACTGAGTTTATATTAGAGCACATGAACTGAAATTAAAAACTAAATGAACAATAATATTATACTCTGATGTGTCAAAATTCAAGACTCGTGGTAGCCTTCAGTGAGATTTTGATCGTGGCTGGTCGTCCCCACGACTGTAGCTGTAGATGAGTATGTTTTTATGTGCCTGCCTGCAGTGTTGAAAGGGGACAAATGTACAGCGGACACCTGAAGCCACTTTGGATGGGAATTTTATATTTTTGATCAACCTGGTCCACAAACAATCGGTGAATAGCTTTTCAGGAAAGGATTAGCTTCTCTATAAAAAAATCTCCGAAAGAATTTTATTTTCTGATGAAAGGCTGTTTGAACGCCCTCCCAAAATAACTTGTTTAACTATTTATAGATTCAAGTGAGTCCGTATCCTGTTTTATATATTAAACACATGTATATAATGGGGACAGATCTATGCTCTACTGTATATAGCATTATTAACAAGCTTTTTCATTATTTTTTATCACAGTAATTTTACGGGATTACTGTGTGTACTACTTTTTTTTTTTTTTTTTCCAGGAATTGAACTCAGGACCTTACGCTTGCCAGGCAGTCGCTTACACCACTGAGCTATATCCCTGGCCCTATCACAGTAATTTTAAAA